CCCCCACCAGCCACAGCCAGGGAGAGGCAGCAGCTCCAGGTGCCAGCACATCAGTCTTCAGGCTCTAATGCTGGCCCAGCAGCACAAGGGTGGGGATAGAGCTGCAAGGGGATGCTATATTCTCCACTCTGACTCCAGGTCTCACCCGTGGGTATAAGGATTTCCAGGTCCATGCAGCAGTGACAAGAGAGCTGCATCTTTCACAGCCAACAGCCTCCAGGCACTGTTCATCAACCCTTGAGCACAGCATTCCCAAGCCTGCTCGGCCATGAAGCTGAGCTCCTCTGCACACTGCTCCCCCTTCCCAAACTTGCCCTGCAGCCTCCCTACAGCTATTACACAATGAGTAATTCCCACTATTTGCTTCCAGCTTCCTCACACACTGCTGCTGCACACCACCAGCTCCCCCCTGTGCAGCTCCTGCCTCTGGAGGGATCCAGCTGCTGCAGGAGCAGCAGCACAGCCCGGGCTCAGCAAGGGGGAGCAGCTCTCCCTCCTGCCCAGGAGAGGAAGGCCACAGCCCTAGAGCCCCACCAGGTGCTGGACACACCACAAGCAGCCTCTGGCATGTTCTGGTTCACTCCCCTTCTGGTTTGAGCTGATTAAGAAACATGAACATTGTTGATTAGGATAGGTTTATAAAAATTATTTTTTTTTTAATCACACAAAACTGAAGTTTGTGATGAAGACTAAGTTGACAGTTCCTCTTAAATACCAGTATGCATAAGACATTGCATTAGGCACTAGGCAGCAGCCAACATCAGTTAGAGTCTGGCAACAGAAGCCATTTTAATACCTCCCTTCACACTGTGGAATTACAGGCTTTGCAATACATATTGTTTCCACTGACAAGTTATCTGAGGTTTCCCCCAACCCACCTCTGTACATCAGTAAACCATGTGTATTCACACTAGAGTAGGGTTAACAACATTAGTGGCATCACAACCATCAAAAAAGGACAATTTTCTATACAAGATTTTTGCAAAAGTTGCAACAGGATTAGTGCATTACGACAGAACTGGAGATAGAAAAAAAAAAAAAAAGAGTTGGCATGCTAGAGTCCAACACAAATGAAGACAACAGGCAGCTAGTTGTATGTACTATATTGACAAGATACTGATTGGTTACATGGAGAAACATACAATACAAAATACAGAAGAAACCAGTTTTGCTTCCCTCTGCCCCACCCCAGAATACTCATAATTGATTTGGTCAATAAGTGGCCGAAAAGCCAGAGTTTGTCACCATAATGCTACAGTTTAGTGGTTGTTCTAGGTATGAGCCTTAGCTTTTACATACGGGTAAGGTTAGACACGGTTCTAGTCTCGAGATCCCTTTGTTTCCAATAGTGAACTACAGTACTGAGGGACCCGGCACTGCTGCCCCGGGCAGGGCGAGCTGGCTGGGCAGGCACCAGGCCGTGCATCCACCACCACCAGGAAGAGGGAAGAGCAGAAGTTCATATATTAAAAAAGTGACTTAAGACTTAGAATTGAATTAGTATTTGTACAGAAAGGTGCAGGTGGAAGAACTCCCTCCAGCCTATGATCAGAAAGGGATGGAGAAATCACAGCAGCCACCGGCAGCAGCCGCTCTATGGTAAGTGCGATCGTTACGTGATTCCAGTCTGGGCTCCGAGGGCTCCGTGGGCAGCTCAGCTCAATTGCTGCAGCACTGGCTCCTGCTGGGCTGACTGCTCTCCTGAAGGTCAACCACCCGATTCCTGCCTGGGCCACCCGGAGCGTTCTGGGGTTCATTTTTTGGCAGTTTCTTGGCTGGAAAGGAACGAGACGTTAGTGGTCCCTCTGCAGAGGGCAGCCTCCCCCCCAGCTCAGCCCTACTCCAGGGCCCAAGCCCTCCCCTCTGGAGCTGTTTGGGATCAGACAGCAGCAGCACAAGCACAGCCAACAAACCCACTCCTAGTTCTGCCTGTCACCAGTCCTGCTCTTTCCTTACTCACCACCCCAGATAAACAGAGAGAAGGAATAGGCTTTGCAAGGCAAAGACTCCCAATGCCCAGGGATTGGCTGCAGGAGCAGGGTGGTCACTGCTCCAGCCCCTGCTGAGAGGGCAGCTCCCACAGCTGCTGCTGGAGCTCCTCCAGCCACCCCTCTGCACACAGGCTCTCACCTATTGCCATGAAGATTTCATTCACATTCATCGCTGTCTTTGCTGATGTCTCCATGAACAGCAAGCTGTTGTCATCTGCATATGTTTGTGCATCCTACAAACAATCACATCAGAATGGCAAAGGCATCCTGCCACAGGGAGGCCCCAGCAGCCTCCACACACTTCTTGTGATGGCAACATGGAAGAAGCCCCATCCCACCCCCAGCCAGACACCCCCAGCCCCTCAACCCTGCCCGGCCAGGACAGCTGGGAAACATTCACCACTGAGAGCCCCATGGGGCTGGTGGCCCAGCTGGGGTCAGCAGCACAGACTGTCTGTGAACCAAGAGCAGACACAGCACGTCCTGAGCAGCCCAACACCTCACACTCTGGTGAGCTGGGAGAGCAATACGCACTGTAAATGCAGCACAAACAGCCCTAAGCAGAGGGCTGAGATAAGAGCTGCTCCTTGGACGTCTGTCTTTGACAAGCTAAGGGCTGTGAAGAGCAGAGAACAAGCTAGGAATGATTCTTCACCTGTCTGCTAAGAGATGCTGTTTCATTCCCTGCTGGACATCCCCAGGTGAGTCAGGCACCAGGAAAGACCAGACAGATGCTGGTACTCCCTAGGCCTTATTCTCCACATTTGTCATAATCATTACCAACAAGAGCTACAAGTGCTGTGGAAGGAGTGCACGGGAAGGCAGTCTGCAGCTCCCTTTGAGGGGCACCCCAGGGTCTTCAGCAGCATAAATCCTGACCTCCTCTCTCCCTCAAAGCATCTTGCACACAGCCACCATCTCCCCACTTAAGCAAAAAGCCGCTTTCATGACTTGCTCAGGCAACAACTGATCTGGATTCCCACTCACCTGGAAGTCCACAGCTCTCTTGGTAGCAAGGTCTGCCTTGTTTCCTGCTAGTGCAATTACAATATTGGGGCTAGCCTGCCTCTGCAACTCTTTCACCCAGTTCTTGGCTCGTACAAATGTGTCCTGGAAGCAAACAGGAGGCAGCAGTCAGGAAGAGCAGCCTCCTACTAATACATAGTGAAGATATGATTAGAACAAGTCTTTCCTGTCAGAAGTGTTCTGCCTCTGCAGCACTTTGTAGCAGGATCCCTTATCAGCTTAGACAGCCTTGGTCAGGGCTGAGGAAGAGGCCACCAGCAGGCTAAGAAACTCAGTACCTGCAGGCAGGCACCTGCAAGGCCTTGAAATCAAGACACTCTCCCAGGGACCTGAGAAGCACCAGCTGGCAGCCCCCCCAACCTAGCAGCCCCCCACTCACTGTGTTGGTGATGTCATAGACAACAATGGCTGCCTGAGCATCCCGGTAGTACATGGGGGCCAGGCTGTGGTACCGCTCCTGCCCCGCCGTGTCCCAGATCTCAAACTTCACTGTCGTGTCGTCCAGGCAGACTGTCTGTGTGAGGAAGGCAGCTGGAAGAGAAGGTGTGTGTTTGCCCATGTGATGCAGAGCCCTGCAGCACCACCCCTGAGCTGGGCACAGCTCTGCTGGTGCACAGGGGGAGCAGAGGCCCCAGGCTGAGGGCAGTGCAGAGCCCCTTGTGGATGCTGCAGCTCTGCTCTATCGAGCTCCTTGCACACACGGACCCAAGAGCCACCAAACAGCCAATATGGAGGTGGCCCTGAGAGCCTGGGCAGAGGACAACTCCCAGGGCAGCAGTGCTGTCACTCTTGTCCCCAGGTCACAGGAACAGCTGCAGGCACCAGGATGAGCTCTGGAGAGCACCTGGGTGCCCAAGCACAGCAGTCAGCCTGCTGCCACTGCATCCCTGGGGCAGCATCTGGGCATCCCAGGCAGTGCCATACTACGAGTTATAACCAGGGTAAAGGCCCAGCCTTGGACACGGACTGAAGACAAAGAGCTGAGTGCCCAAATCTGAGCCCTGCTTGCCCATTCACTGCACTTACAGCAGCCCCTACTCCCTGCATGGGTCTCTATAGGGATAAAAATTAGTGCCCAGAGACCAGGCTTGATTGGTGACACCATGTTAATGATTTCAAGCTAAAGAACTAAAAGAGCTGTGTAAGTAGTTAACAGTGTCAGGCTAGAAACAGCCCCAAAATCCCAGGTCATGGTCTGAAAAGATAATTAAGGGCTATAAACCAAGCTGAAGGCCTTGGTTCTAATTAGCAGCAGGCATTCAAGAGCTGCAAGTGCAGCGCCTTGGAGGCAGCGCGCACGGTTGCCATAGCAGTGTCCTCTGCTGCGCTGATCTTCACACCAACAAACAAGTTGTAAACCAAGAGTTAAAGCATTAGCTTCTTGGCTATTTATAGCAAAAAAAAAAAAAGCCCCAGACTGGTTTGAAACAGCCATTAATGCTTCTAACACCCCAAACTGCACTGGCGAGGCCAGTATCTCCCAGCCACAGGCACCTGGAGCCAGAACTCACCCCCGATCGTGCTCTCCTGGTACTCGTGGAACTGCCCCTTCACGAAGCGCAGGACCAGGCTGGACTTCCCCACTGCCGACTCTCCCAACAGGACAAGTTTGAACTGGCAGATTTTGTTCCCAGCAGCTGGTCCATTCGGTCGAGCAGCTCCACCTCGACCTGCCATTGTGGCCTAAGTGCAGGAGTGCCAAGAGTTAAGGATGCTGCAGGTTCTGCTCTGGGATCCACCTGGAGGCAGGTTGCAACTGGAAGAGGAGGTCAGAGTTAGTGACACGCTCACGGACCAGCTGTACCAGTTCTAGAGGGTGGGTTTGATCTGCAGCCATCATCAGCACAGGCAGGTGGGGACTCCTTCCCATGGTGGAAAGTTACCAACTGCATGTACCACAGCACTATCCAGCAGTTTGTCAGTCTTGAGCAGGGTCTTAGACCTCTGAGTTCCTTTGGAGAAGGGATATTGGTAACACAAGCTTTCCTCCCCACCAGTGGGCCCTCCAGCACTTCCACCACGTGTAGGTGTCACACACACCTTGCCTGGGTGAGGCAAGTAAAGAGCAGCCAGCATACCAACCACTGTTATTAGAGCTTTGTCTGTTAGAACAACTACTACTTGGTTCATGGAGGTCACCGAGGTTGACTTTCAGCTCCTTTCTCCCCTCCTGAGCTCACCAGGCAGCACCTTCACCCTGTCCTTGCAACAGAGATGCCCAAGCACTGCCTAGAAGCCGTTCCAGAAAGGGCATGGATGTCAGCCCCTTGGACTACAGGAGTTTGTCTCTTCAGTCTGAGAGAGGCTCTCACACCAAGCCAATAAATACCACACCTCAAAGCAGCACTGTCCTGGCAGTGGAACACTGGCCTGACCCCACCTCCTCCCCCGAGGAAGGACAAACTGTTCTGACAGGATGAAAAAGCTCAATAGGAAGCAAATCAGCAACTTCTTTTGCTGGTCAGTGGGAAAGCAGCTCTGGAGCAGCCTGGTTACCACCAGGTTTGAGAGGCACATCAGCAGCTCCACCTCTACATCAGCCCAAAAAACTTCCCACCTTTTAGAGTTCCTCCCCTAACCAGAGCTTGCAAGGGAGCAGTTTTGCTTGTTTAACCTTGTATCCCTCCCCTGCAGTCTATCAGCAGCACCAAAGCCCTGTTGCTGTTTCAGACCAACAACCTGCCCATTAAAAGCCACGTGAATTGTGCCTCTGAGTTATGACCTCCTGAAACATGATAGGGGTGATTCCCAGAGCAAAACAGGGAAATGAGCCTGCTGACATCTTCAAGTCTTAGTGTGACCTATATTTCAGAGATCTGGATTCATTTTGCCATCTGGTTGTGCTACATGAACTCAAAAACAATTAAGCAAGCACATCTGAACGTACAGCTCACCCTGGAAAGCGTCTGTGACCACACAATTATGAAAAGCCTGATCACCATCTAAAGATGGTCTGAAGTCTGGCTGCAGGATTACATGACTTCATGTGCACCTGAGCAGCTGCCAGGTCCTTGGGATGTCTGGGTGGAGACCGTGCAGTTCTGATGACCCCAAAAGCAGCCATCTCACTAAGGGTCTGAGGCTGAGAACAAGATCAGAATGACCTGCTCAGCACTTCTGCTGACACTTAGATCAAATCATTGAAGTGAGCAACTACCAAGACTGTAGACACTGAGACCTCTCCTCCATTGGAGGAGGGTCAGTTTGGCACTTTTTCCTCATGCCAACACCTTTGAGGGCCTGTACATTCCTATCAGCTCCACTCCACCATGCACAGCAGCGACAGTTGAACAGCACAGCCTGGATCTGTGGGAGATCAGGGACCCTGCTTTGGGACACATGGAGTGTCCTGTGCAGACAAGTCCCTTTCTGATGCTCAGGGGGGCTGCTCAGCACCACCCCACCTCCAGCAGTGTGGATTGGGCACACAGCCCTCCCTGCTCCCCACAAGAACATAGACACTCCAGTCACAGGGCAGGATGACCAAAACGACAACAGGGATCTTGTGCAGACAAGGGACAGCAGCCCAGGCTGCAACTCACCACCTGATTCAAGACCACAAGAAGGAGGGCTGTGATAGGGGTACTCATTAATCAAGAATAACAAGTATTAATTTCCTACTAATTAATCAGTGAAACTCAGCAGCTTGGTGTCACAAGATCCATATGAAGGTCTGTACTCTGCCCTGCTCACCTCCAGCTGCTGCAACTCTGCCTCACACAGGCACCGTGTTCCTATTGCAAACTCCCTGGGCACCTTCTGTTTGCTTTGAGATCAAAGACAAGTTGCAGTGCCTGATGCTGTCCAACCAACAACAGCTCCATGTCCGTCACCCCTGCAGTTTATGCTCCTCTCAACACATCACCATTTTCCTAGATTTGTTGCAGGGCTCTGCACTCCCATTAAAAAAAGACCAAATAATTTGTCCTGCTGCTGCACTCCCAGCCTGCCCAGTGAGGCAGCTCCCAGAGCTGTCAGGATGCTCCAGAACAGCACAAGAGCTCATTCCAAACAAACCAGCCTCTGCAAGAACCCAGTCTCCACAGGGCAATTACTACCAGATCTCCATGTTAATCCCTGCAGAAGAATTGCTTTACCAGATCCCCTAACACAGGGAGCTGCCAGAACTTAAAGAACCTGATATTTTTGCCCCATGTTCACCCAGTAGCAAGGACTACTTGAAGCTGGCAATATTTAGAAACCCAGTCCTGAAGAATCTAGTTACCCAAGAGGACTGCTTCTGCTCTCAGCTATGCAAGAAACTGTTTCACTGGGGATTTGTTGGCTTAGAATCAGAATACTCAAGACAAAAGCCCCAGTGAAGTATTTATCTTGTTAAATAGCTCACAGCATTACATGAATTTCTTGGCAAAGCAACCCCTGAAGTTACTGAGTGGTTCTGCTTCACCTGACACTGCACAGGCAGCTGCCACCGCTGGCAGGACACTCGTGTGACCTTGTGTGGGGGACAGTCTACCTTCCCTCCCACCCAGTCCAGGCCTTGGGACCCAGGGGGACAAGTGACATCCACCAGCAGCAAGTGTGGGAGAAACCCACCAGAACAGACCCCAGCAGCCCAGATCAACAGAGTGCAGTGGCAGCCTGATCTCCCAACACACTGATGTGATTAACTACACAGACCCCAGGCCTTGCTGCAGCAGGGAGCACCCTGCAGAGGGAGGAGTCTCAGACCCTGCTATTACCCACGAGATGAACCAGGAAACAGACCCAGGAGCACAGACCTCAGCCCTGTGAAGTCTGATCAGTCTTAATACTTGATCTTTCCACAGGCAACACGCACTTCCCCCCACAAAGAACAGTGTCTTATCAGCACGGCTGTAAACTGGAGCTCCAGTAACAGCTCTAGACTGGGGAACAAGCCACTGCAGCTGGACTAGTGCATCAGGATCTGAAGCACCGATTCCTTTTCATGCTGTTACACACACACACATCTGCTCCCTGACACCTGCAGGGCCCTGGCCTCCCCAGCAAGGGCTGTTTTTCAAAGCAGCTTTTCAAAAACAATTCTACCATCAGATTTCAAGGCCACCACCCTGCAGTTACCCAGCACAGACATCACGAGCAGCTGAGCAGGCAGGAGGGGGGACAGCAGCTCCCTGGGCAGCCCAGTTTGAGACTAAACCTCCTGAGACAGATCTTGTCTGCTTGGAGCAGGCAAGTCAGCTGCAAGACTGTCAGGAAACCACAAAGCCAGGAACACTTGTGCATCCTACAGAGCTGATCCAGCTCTTTGGAAGATGAGCAAAGATCACAGCCTGCATGGCTGAGCCAAGAAGTGCAGTACCTGGGCCAAAGGGACCCACCAAGCTCCTTCAAGCCTTCTTCTAGCCAGTTTAACATACATCCTGTCACAAGGATTTCTTCATTTTAAGTGGTTCTCATTTACCAGGAATTCCTGAAAACAGCTCCTGAGGTAAAAAGACATTGATTGCATTAATTGATGCTAACTTGGAAATACAGTTCAACCCTCACACAAACTGTATCAGCAACAAGAGCTGTGACCACATTGGTCACACTGGCAGCACAAGGAAGTTCCATGTCTAATCCAGTGGGGGTTTTAATTCTGCAGAATAGCATGACTAATTGCTTTTAAAACTGCAGTGAGTGTCCTTTGAGCTAACCACAGCTGAACAGAGCAACAGGTAGTGAGGGCAGGCTGAGCTGTGGTGCCTCTGCCTGGTCCTCCTGGACCAGGAAAGTGACAGGGATAACAGTGGGACTGGTGTTCCAGTCAGGGCCACCAAACCCGCAGCATGAACTGCAGCAAAAGACTTTGTGGGAGGGTTTTGCATCATCTTCACTTCACATGAGCTTCTCACTAGCTGGAGGGAGCAAAGCCTCCATGCTCCCTATCCCCACTCTAAGCCCCTCTCAGGGGCCTCACCTACTTTTTGTTATCCTTGATACTGCAAGAAATTAGTCCTGCTGCACAGGAGAGGAGGCACAGCCAGGCTGGAGGAGCAGCTCCTGAATGAAGCCTGCAACTTGAACAAGAGCATCAAGTTCTTAATTCTGCAGGCAAGGTTTTTCTGACTCCTGCTCCTGATTCTCCCCACTGCTCAGCACGCCCTCAAAAGCTCAGCTTTGACCAGAGGTCCAGCAACACAGGCCTTGACTGCTCTGAGAGCAAAAAGGCAAGATCAGTAACACTGCAAAGCAGAAAATTGTTATTGTCAGTACAGAAGAGTCAGTGACCTTCATAATATCTTTTCCAGACTGCACAAGGATCTCTCGCCTCCAGCAGCTCCTTATCTGGAGCTCTGCTAAATAAAAGCAAACATGAAAACCAGTGTTTTCTTATCTGTTTATGTAGAACTGCTCCAGCCTTTCATTCCTGTACTCCAGGGGAGGAAAGTGCTCCTTTTAGGATTCAGATGAAGCTTTATTCTTCCCTTCTACTGTCACTTCCAGGAAGGCTGTTGTTTCTGGCTGCCATGTGGAGTGTTTTCATAGTGCTGCTCTGACAACTTCACACGACTTGCACAAGAGGACTTCAAACTTCATCCCCCTAGGGAAGCAAACAGCTGACTCCACTGTTCCTGCATTCTATCCTCTTTCCAGTGTGCTGACTGAAACACTTCAGGCTACACCCACTTCAGCAGCAGCGTTCCCATTTCATTTCCTGTGTCTGAAAGTACTTGGCACTCCTTCCCCTCCCTTTCCAGGGAGATGCCCTGACCACCTCTTGGCCACACAGGCAGAGGTGTCAGGAGTTGGAATGGAAGAGGTGCTGAGCAGCAGGGCATGGAGCAGCTCTAGAGCTGGATGCAAAGAGCTGTGCTGTGATGGAGATAATTCCACACATCATCACAACAATTAAGTCCGGCCAAGCACACAAAGGATGAACATGTTACTGAGTTTTGTTCCAGGCTCTGCCCAACCCATTATTGACTTCACTCAGAAAGCCAGTGGACCCAAAGTCAAGGGTGTTCATAGCTTCATTTTACTGTATTCACACCACACATGGAGCCAACTTTCCCCTTCCTGCTGTAGTAACTCCTTCAGAAGCCCCATTTCATCTCACCAAACAAATGTCACCTAAATTAGCCCTTAGGACTTGAGGGAAGATGGACTCAAGAGGCAGGGTTTGCTATGGAAGTAGTTGAATGCTCAGCCATACTGTTGAGACTGAGAGTAGTCTGAGGTGGTTTCAGCACTGAGACCCAGTTAATGAACCTCAAAGTCACCTTTCTGAGCCTTACAAGCTCCTGCTTTACCTGCTCTGTTCACTCCAAGAGTGCACTGAGGCCAAAGTCATCCTGTAGCTGCCTACACAGGCTAGTTTGAATTCTTCACCCTTTCCAGTCAGTTCTTTCACCTTATTATCTAGTTAAGCTGGAAAAAAAAACAAAAAAAAAGAAAAAAAAAACCAACAAAAACTTCAAGAGTTAAGGCAGCAGCAAATACTAATGGGATATTCCAGGACAGTTCACTCAGCATGGCATGTCAGGCCATCAGGAATCAAAATTATCCTTTTTTGGTCTGAACCAAACCTTGCCCTCAGAGCAGGCTCAGGAGTCCTGGCCCTGGGCAGAGCAGGGAGGTGTCAGGCTCTAGGGCAGCTCAGATGTGTGTTGACCACCACACAAAAAACTAAGAATAGTAGATGCAAGTTGTTCCACATCAGACTTAAAATAGTACCTCAGGGCACTCTCTTCCCTCCAATTTCCTTACGTGTCTGGAAACAGCCAAGGTCAGACCCAGGACAGCCATGCACAACAGCCAAGAGCTAAAGGGCAGCAGAGATGGGCTGATGGCTGGACCAGCCTCACTGGCAGAGCCACTGCAGCCACCAGGACACTCCCCTGGCTCCTCACAGCACCACCAGCCATGGGCTCCAGCAGTGCCAGGATCACAGCTGAAGCACCACAGAAATCAGCACTACAACCTGTTGCTGACCCCCACCTCTGCACCCCCTGCGCCCCCAGGACCATGATCCCCCCACACCACAGTCCATCCCCTATGCTGAGATCCCAGGACCAGCCTCACACCCCAGCACGTCTGGGCCTCCTCCCAGACACGCCTCACAACTTTCCTGCAGCTCTTCAAGAGGCAGCATCACCACGTATTTGGCTTCACCGAGGTCACTTTGGAGGCACAGAGGTTGTTTGTCCCCAACAGCAGCACAGAACAGTCGCCATTTCACTAGAAACTATTTCTAGTGGATAAAGTCACCTCCCCCGTCTCAGCAGGTCCCTGGTCTGGAACCTGACCAGGCTTCTGAAGTTTCCGTTCCCAGCTCAGCAGCTGAGCAGCTGCACCTCTGCTCCCCCCAGGCACCCACTGTCCCCAAACAGCATTTAACTTCCACACAGTCATGGCCACACGACACATGGGCGCTGGGAAGCAGCAGCGGGCACTGCTGCTCACGGCCGAGAGAGCCTTCCCTCCCCAGGGAGGAAAA